ATTTTTTTTTTTAAATAAAATAATATTTTTATATAACATATATATTTCTTATCATGAATTATTTCTACTATATGGTATAATGTCATTTGTTTTCGGTAGTTTAAGATGGCCGATCTATTCTAGGACATCTTCTCATTCTATTTCCATTTGGTAACAAAGCTCTATAAGGTCACCTGATTTTGTGATGTCCCCTGTATGTAGTTTCACCCACATGATGAAACCAAATATTGTTTAGTAAACTACACCAGAACCAATATGTAGATTCATTAATATATGGAAAAGAAGGCAAAGGTCTACTACACTTCTCAAGGATCCTTCTAGCCCAGTTCACTCTTTTACATCTGGAGATAGTCCTATCTTATCGTGATAAGCTGGTGTTGACTGAGTTATGACGTATCTCAGAGTAACATCTGACCTCTAGCTAGTAATCAACTTCCTTCAATACACTCACAGGGGGCTAGAAGACCATGCCTGAAATGGTCAATTAGCTCGGAAGGAAAATTCAACTCAATACACAGTCACATTCTCTTTACCGAAATTTATTGAAGAAATTCGAATAATAAGAAGGTTATTGGATTGCTTTGTTGTTGTTGTTGATATATAGTATCATGAACCGTTCTTGATTTATTCACTTCACGTTTCGTCGATTCCCTGTCACCTTGCTTCTTCTTTCTTATCTCCACTTAATCATATTAGGGTATCAAGCTTGTAGAGCTTGAGACTTTTAATGATTTCTTCTGATGATAAGCAAAGCTCATCAAAGTAGATTTAACATCCATAATGATTGGGTGAGGTAGAATGCGTATGAATTTGTCATTAAGACTTGGAACACTACACAGTGGCAGGCCGACTCAGCTCCAATATTGAAAGGTTGCCTCTGACATGAGGAACAGACGCCATGTGCATCCGCTCCTAATATGGAGTACAAACACTGCTCATCATGTATCCCTGAATTAGGAGCCCTTACAGGGTACTAGCAGCCAGGTCAGCTGAGTCCAGGTTTTTAAGCAAGCTTGTCACTGCTCCCCCTCCACCTTTTTCATCCTGGTTTGGAACCGGCAAAGGCGGAGGTCACCTTCCTTATAGGAATGTGTTCTTGAATTCATGCTTTTCTAGAACAAGCACTCATTCCCCTGAGGAAGGTCACAGAGAATCGTCGAAATCTAGAAAAATGAATAATCAAGAACGATTGTGATGTTGATAACGAAACTATGCTTAAGTTTTGTCCAAATCTTGTGAGAACCAATCCTTACAACTATGGACGGACTTAACATCAGCATGGAACTTTCTGGTCAAGTGGTCAGCAATCACTCAGGACGCGAGTAAATTTACTTGGCACTAGTCCATACTAGTGAGCTGGACAGTCCGTGTAAGTTGGCGTTCTGCGCTCCCTGGGTTATAAATCTCTCACTTTCTCTTTTATTGGAATATACCAATGTATATGGTAATGGTAGATTAAACTGGCGAAACCGCTGGGAGGGTTCACTACTGATGAGCCAGGCCCTCCCATTATTTTTTTATCATTGCAGTAAGAACAGTAGAAATTTGTTATATTTAAAAAAGAATCATAAACGTCAAAAATAGTTTGGATTTCTTATAATAGTAATTGTTTAAATTAGAAATGTCTTCATTTCAGGATTTTCCCCAATTTTCTCAGGGAAACTGTATACGGATTTAATTTAACTTTTTTGTAACATGTATAGCCCTTACGCCTATATTTCCTTAAGTCCATAAGCCGTAAAAGACTTCTCGGCAGGGAATCGAACTCTTTTATTCTGCGTGACAGGCAGGAATGCTCACGATTACACTACCAAGGACGGCGCTGTAGGGCAGCGAAATAATATTGTCAAGTAGCTCTGCATCTCCGGTCACAAGAAGCTCCATGGGACACCTGTCAATCATCACTGGACTCCGGGGGAATGACCACAGATGTGATAAGGAAAACGGGACGCCTCGGTGGCTGACCACTCTCATTATTATTACCTTGGGATAAGTTGTTATCTCTCTCCCTATAAATACCTCTTGTATATAATTTTATTGGAGAACTAAAAGATAAATACCCTTTATAATAAATTAATAATTCCCCCCCCAAAAAAAAATACTTCACTACGATATAAAATAATTTAACAACATCAATAATCAATCGAGGACTAGGTCTCTTTTAACAATTTTTCATTTCTCAATATTTCGGGTCAATATGTCCTTCAACAGGCGACCTAGAAGTACCCCTTCCAGCAAATATAGGTGTGTATAGTTGACTGTAAGTGGTACTTCTAAGTCTACTGTTGAAGGACATATTGACACAAAAGCTTGAAAAATAAAAAAAAAAATTGAAGAAACCTGGCCGTGGAATACTTATCGATGTTGTTAACAGGGATGTTGAATATGTAATACGTATAAAAGAATATAAAAATAATATTAATATATATTATACACAATGTCTGTGTTGAGACTCTCTATTGTTAGGTATTAAAGGCCAGCTGAAGCTTGCAGCCGATTCTATCGCAATTGTTTACATAACTTCCGGGCCTGAATAAACATCAGACCTTCCACTCAAGGGCAACTCTGAATAAACCAACTTGTACTTTTGTCTGTCCTTGAGTCTTTACACCATGGTCTATTTGATTTGAGAGATGTTAGAATGATTTTGAATAGCCATTAATAGTAATATTTTGAGTTAAAACGCGATTAATTGAATATATACACATAAATATACACATTAGATAATAAAAAGGCATATATTGGATTTAATAAAAGATTTATTTGCCAAAATTTCATTATAAATATACACATATGTATTCTTTTATACGAAAAATCGAAAGCGATTATTTCTAACCTTAGGGATGAAGTATGAAAGGATGAATTGTGAAGAGGAATGATAAACGGAAAAATAAAGTGTCCAGGGATGGGAACACAATTCATCCTTTCATACTTCATCCCTAAGGTTAGAAATAATCGCTATTTCTCCTTAAAATAAATTTCGATTTTTCGTTCAAAAGAAACACATGCGGGATATTTTTTTCAAATGTCGTTCTACAATCATAAGCCGCATTATATTGTATTTACATATGTATTCATTTAAATAAAAACGTACCTGGATTTGCGAAAGATAATCTATTATTATGAATCATTTGTATCAATCCATTTATAATGGTAATTATACAATTCGTACTATTTTTCCAAACGGAATTCCTACACAGTTTCATCCAAATTTTATAGCTCCTCAATTTGTCATATCACACAGAAAATTCCAGAAATACTTATATAAAATATGTCTATCAGAAACACCAAATTGTTCTTGCGGAAAAACTGAACAAACTGCTCTTCACCTTATCTATGACTGTCCGAACTTTACAGAAGTGAGATATCGATTGTTCCCTGATCTAAATAATTTAACTCTCTTACATCAGCCACTTTGTCTGTATAAATTTTATAAACTCTGTCGAATAATCCATGTAAATTTATAAATATTTAATTCTAAGTTCTAATTTGTTTGTTGTTTTGTTTGTTTCCTCTGTATTAGGTGTAAATATTTCAATATCGCGTCTGGTTGATTAATACAATTTCTTAAAAAATGATTTGAGGGATATCAGAATGATTTTGAATAGCCATAAGAATTAATAGTAATAATTTGAGTTAAAAGACGATTAATTAAATATACACAATGTGTATTCAGACGACCAATATATGACACACTATTAACATATTGCTCGCCTGTAAAAAGCAATTATGCAAATCATCATCATCTTCTTCTTTCTTATCTCCACTCAATCACACTAAGGTATCAAGCTTGTAAAGCTTGAGATTTTTGATGGTGTCTGCCGGGAAAGAGTAGAGCTCATCAATGGATGAGTCAATATAGTCAATAATATGTCTTGGGGTTGCAGGCTAAGAATTGCACTTAGTACATAGTGGGAAAACCCTGCAACCATTGCATGCAAATCATAAATCGAATATATACCTTTGTATATTCATATAAAAAGACATACCTGAATTTGTGAAAGAAAAACACAATTTTCCTAAAAATATTTATAAATTTCCTCCCTCTTTATAAATTTCTTGCACAATAAACTTACAAAGTTATTTACAAATTCTTGTAAGATGGAAACAATTTGTTGTGGATGGAATTTTGAATTAATTTTTATTAATAAAAAAGTGTCCAATGCGGGATTCGAACCCAGGTCGTTTCTGTTGGATATCGACGATTCAGACCACTCGGCTATCAACCTTAAGTAACTATGTGCTAATCCAAACTATATAAAACAATGAGTCATAAGGTATACGAAAGAAATGTGGGTTGTTAGTCCTCCTACGTTTATCTTTTTCTATTTGTCCATCGCCATTTAAAGATTGGAATTTCTTTTTATAAAACCTCATAACGAAATTTTCCATTAGTTTTTATAATCGTTCAATAAGTACCCCCAATTTTTAACCTGAAAAAAAAATACTTTGGAATTTTTTTTCTCCGCGGTGTTTACCAAATTTAACGGAGTTCTAATTTTAGAATTCTTAATGAAGATTTATTTTATTTTCTTTGTGATAGGTTGATAGGTTGTGGAATCTATACCATTAAGGAAACAATTGATGCAAACATCTGTTGCTTCAAATTATCTAAAAATACATTTCTTGAAAATAAAGATACTTCGGCCAGAGTAAATCTTTATATTACCTCGACGTTTCAACAAAAATATTTTGTCCTCGTCAGGAGCAAACAAAAATTAAACATTTAGCAAGGAAAAATGATTTTTAACGCCTTGCTAAATGTTTAATTTTTGTTTGCTCCTGACGAGGACAAAAGCTTTTTGTCGAAACGTCGAGGTAATAAAAAGATTTACAGGCCGAAGTATTTTTATTTTCAAGAAATATGAATACCGGCCAGGCAGCCTCTATCTTTACGCTAAAAATACATGTAGTCCAAGGCTATGATATTATATCATGTTAGTTATTGACTGTTTCTACTGTAAGTACATGTTTACATACACAGGTTGTATATGATTGAATATCTGTAACTATATTTCATTACATCTCGACTGTATATGGTTAAATACTATAAATAAATATGAATAAAAACATAATGTTACATACGTATACGTATAAAAGGCTGAATACAAGTACACTTGTATAATGATTAAATATAATGCCTATAAATGATATACAGTTAAACCTGTCTATAGCGCCCTCCCTAAATAGCGCCTCCCTCTTTATAGCGCCCGATTTTAAATACGTAGTACGATGCGATTTACATTAAAGTAACCTGTCTAAAGCACTCCCTCTCTATAGCACCCTATTTTGATGAGTCCCAAGATGGGGTGCTACAGACAGGTTTAACTGTAATAAAATAAATGCAGATATACACTCATAGACAAAACTTAAGGAAGTTGTACCTTTTAGCATGTATATCAGGATTCAGACAATAACTCAGAAAGATAATACAGTGACCTTTATTGAAGAAACACGAGATAACTAAGTGTGAACAAAATTGCCTCTGTCTCCTTCAAAAAAAAAAAAAAAAAAAAAAGAAGAAGAAGAAAAACAGACAACCTAAAACATCAAAGGTTTTCTACATCCTTAAGTTTTCTTCATGAGTGCATATTCGTATCTGCACCATAATAGATTTTGGTCGTTTAAAACTTTAATGTATAGAGTGTTTTTTCTTTGTGTGATTATCAAATTTTTAAGGGGATCTCAAACATTGCGTCGTATAATATCGGCATATTGAATGTAAATCGAGCTGTAAATAAATTGTAAAAGTGTGGAAGTATCATTGTAAAATGTAAATAGATATTTTTTTACAGAGGGAAAACCCGAGAGGAGTAGATCGGAGAGAGGAAAGAGAAAGTCCGAGGTCCACCCTGGGAACAACTGGTTTCGATATCACCTATGTGCTAACTATCCCTTTATCTTCAATAAGGAATAACGAAAATAAATAGTTCTGGTCTTTCCTGGAAATTGTCGGTCATTCGAAGTTCAATATCGAAAGAGAAACCGGCTAAAAGCGTGTATAAAACACACGCCCTGGTTTCTCTAGGAGGTATTTGCTTATTGGAAATTGAAATATACAGAAAGAATCTTCAATGAGAGGCCTACAAGAATGAAATATAGATAGCTAGAGTCTCTCCAGGATTTGTTCGTACTTTAAAGGATAGTTCAGTCGAATAATTTCTTGTGTTCAAGACAGTTTCTGGAGATGAGTTTCGTTTCATTTGAATAAAGCTGTCTCAAACATTCGGGAATCTCTGTCTTTCTACAGAAGAACATAAACAAACGATTTCTTCAAATAAAAGACACTTCGGCCAGTATATCTTTTTATTGTCTCGACGTTTCGACAAAAATTTTTTGTCCTCGTCAGAAGCAAACAAAAATTATAACATTAGGCAAAGCGTTAGAAATTATTTTAAGGATGCAAGGTCGTTCTCATGCGATATTCGAAATTTTGTATAACATCTAAAGCACGATAAACAAACGAATAAAACGTCGTTTGATTCCTTTATTTATGTTCTCCTGTAGATGGGCAGAGATTCCCGAATGTTTGAGACTACGTTAATAAAATTAAAAAAAACTCATATTCATAAACATGTTTAAATAAAGTAAAACACGAAGGAATATGAGTTTCTTTTTGAATTGTAAAAGTGTGGAAGTATCGTTGTAAAGTGTAAATAGATATTTTTTTACAGAGGGAAAACCTATGAGGAGTAGATGGGAGAGAAGAAAGAGAAAATCCGAGGTCCACCCTGGGAACAACTCATGTCGAGATCACCTTGATACTAACTGTCCCCTGATCGTCAATAGGGAATATCAGAAAAAAAAATACAAAAAA